GCCATCAGCCGCAGAGGTCGGCGTCCGATTGTTCCGATCTCGCTTCCTGTCCCGAGGACGATCTAGACCGACCCTCTGCGAACCCTGAGCTTGGCCGATACGAGCGCATCAAGAACGCAGCAGATGCTCATGACTAGCGCGGGGGTTACATTCCCGCAACTAGACAGTAAACTTGACTGGTTCATCATAGACGACAATGTGATTGTCATATCAGAATTCCACCGAGCGCCTTCCGGGCCATAATACCCGCCACCATGGACAACTCGCTACAGCCGAGCCAAGCACTGGGATGCTGTTGGCGAGTGCTAAAAATAACACCAAGATCAACGGAATAAATTGTATGCGTCCACCACATTCCCGGGATCCAGGTCAATCCAAGAACCACCCCTGGCGCTTGTGGTGATATTAAACTATCGGTGGGTGGCAACACACCGGGTCGAGGGAACATTCATGATGACCCTTGCCACCCTCGCTCGACCTCTCGCAGAGCAACGTCGGGAGGTTATAAACGAGCCCTCAGACCTTCCCACAGTTTCCGGGGCAGGGCACCTTTCTTGTGGCATCCCGTTACGAGATTCCACACAGTTCCCGTTCTCACCCCTGCTCGCCGAACAACATGCGCCACCAGCACCTCCTCCCCTTCCTTGGGACGCTCGCAGCTGCACTTGCCACAGACGAACAAATCGCCCTCCAATGTCGCGAATCCGCACCACAGAACGCTGAAGTCACCGAAATCGCCTTCGCTGGCTCCGGCTGCCCCGCCGGCTACGCCCCCGGCCACACCCTCTCCGACCCATCAACCCTCATCCTCCCCAAGTCAGGTTTCACCGCGGAAACCGGCAAGAACAAATCCTACCTCGACGCCCGTGCCAACTGTCAGATTCTCGTCAAGCTCAAGTACCCCTCCGGCTGGCAGTTCTCGGTCTCCAAAGCGGATTACTACGGGCGGGTGCAAGTCCCTGAGGGGATGACGGGGGTTTCGAAGACGACGTATTATTTTACGGGGGATTCAAGCGATGTATGTGCTCTCTCTGAATGGACTCACGACGGGCCAAGATGATAACCAAGACTGATCCAGATCTCATATAACAACACCATCGAAGGTCCGTATGACGGCTCGTACTTTCGCAACGACCGCTTTGGCGAGAAGAACAGTCTTTGGTCACCTTGTGGCTCGGAAGCGATGCTGAATATCAACACCGAGGTTCGCCTATCGCCTATTGGGACGGACCAGACTGCGGTGATAGGGGTGAACACCCAGGAGACGGTGGAGATCAGTTGGCGGACGTGTGGTTAGCGGATTCTGGGGTCTTGGTGGAATATGGAGGAAGAAACAGCCGACATTGTAGCCACTGCTAGCTCTGACTGAAAGCGACGTTCTGTTGAAGTTCTCTAGAGCATGACATCAAATGGTGCTGTTATGCTTTGTCCTGTTGTGCCGAAATCCCATTTGCTATTAATCTATGAGGCATGGTCGAGCAGCCAGCCGACACCCCTGATCGTATCCTCCATCCTTCTCTTCGATGCCTCCAGGGTCCCACCAGCAATGGGGAAATCCACTGTAGACATCAAGCTTCGTCGGAACCGCACACTCCTCCCTCAGCACACGCTCGTAGATGAGCCCATCATCGCGGTTCATGTCCATCCCGCAGACCTGAAAGTAGGTCGGTGGCATCCCCATATGGCCAGCCGCAATGCCCTCAGCATCGTGCTGATCAAACGGCGCCCACAGGGGCGACTCCCGGTCTAGGTTGATTGCATCCCGAAAAGCTTGCATGAACTTGTGGTTCGCCACCGGAGTGTCCTTGTTCTGCTCCATTGACAGGTACCGAGGCTGGTAGGATGCCGGGACTCGCTCCGGATCAATGAAAGCGCCGCAAAACAGGGATTGGCCCGTCACGGGCGGCGACAAGTTCGCGTTACGGGCGAGATGGACGGCAACATCGGCGAAATTAGCGCCCGAGGAGGTACCTCCAACGAGGAATCCCGCTTTGGCGTCTGCATGGTGAGGTAAGAGGACACGAGATGCGGGTTCAGCCAACGCATCACGGGCGACGAGCTGTAATAACGCCCAGGCATCGTCTATCATGGATGGAAATGGATCCTCGGGGGCTTTCCGCGTCGATGGGCAGATCACAGCCGCGTTATGAACGGCTGCGAGTTCGCGCGCCAGGGGGATATCAAATTCGGGATATCCGAGCACGTGGGCGCCACCGTGGAAAAGGACGATAACAGGCACAGGATTGGGATGGGCGTCCGGTGTTGTGTGGCAGACAAGAATGCGAGAGGAGAAGCCGCTCGTGAGGGTGATGGTGTGTTCGGCTTCCGTGAAGTTGGCTGGCCGGCTCGTGCCAAGTTTTTTCTGAAGGCCAGAAAGGCTGCCGGCGACTATGGCCTTGAGAGTGAGGACATCTGTTGGCATATCTCCTGAGGGACAACCGCGAGATTTCCATGCGGCCTCGAAGTCCGGGTCCATGTTTCCGGTTTGGAGGATTTCGTCAACTGTTACTGGCGCTGCTGGCATATTGAGGGACCCGGGTCGAAAGAACTGGTGTTGTCGATTCATCTGGTGTTCTCAGCATTATTCAAGGAGAAGAGACTTTCAACCGCCTCGGATGTTTGGCGAAATACTCACTCGCAGATACGCAATAAGACCGTCAATGTCAGAGAGTTGATCTGTTGGTAGTCTAAACCGCATAAAGACAGACCGACGACAATCGATGCATCTCCGAAGTGAGTCACGCCGGGGCCCAATCCAATGCCGCCGAGGCTTGGCCGAGGCTTGGCAGAGGCCCTTCAAAAAGATGCTGGGGGTGTTCGTGGTGGATTTCAAGAGCTGCATCAAGTAGTTAAACAGTCTGGACATCTGGACGGGATGGCAGAGTTTGGCTGGCGGAACTGGCGCGGACAGAGATGTGACGTCCCATTAGTGGCCGGAAACGCTCGATCACGGGCAGTGAATGCAAAAGGGTGCAGGTATGGTAATCGGATGAGTGTTCCGACGCTGGAGATTTGGGGGAAGACGGTTGGGAAAGCTCGGATCCGTCCGAAGAATCTCGCTTGCTCCTTCCGTAAGTGACAGCTTTGGCGAATTCGAACTGGCATCGTTTTTAGCTCAAATTCTGCTCTGTGGTGAGGTGGACCCTCCACGCTGCTGATGAAAAGCTGTTGTCATGTTTCATCCAATGCTAATCCATTGCAAATCCTTCCAGCTTAGCTGCGAGGAAATAGCCCAGATGGTGTGCTTACCTATTTGGCCTTCCTCGCCCACCACGAACAGACAAACCATGTCTCCCAGGTTGGTGAGATGTGGGGCGCCCTTTCCCGACACCCCGAGGTCCTCCCAGTCGGATACCCAGTCGACCCCTCGCATGACATGATGATGCAAATTCCCGTTGCCTCCGATTGCCACCACATCAATCCTCTCTACGGACGCCGAGCCAGTCCCAGTTGCGACGACCGAAGGAACGCTCTGGAACAACCGACCCAAGTTCGTTTGTTAAGTCGGAGATGTGTGCCCCATCCCTTTCGGCCGGCTGACATGATACATCGCCGCGTCTCTCCCAATAGCGAAAAGGTCCAGTCGACGACCTCCAGCGTCCACCGATACCGGCTCGCCCTGAAACCCGCCCTCGATTTCAGTCCCGCCGCCTCACGCCTGCGACCAAGACCCCGGTGAACCCGAACCCGCGAGGTAGACGCGAACCGTCCCGTCACCCTGGTACACCATCATATCATGCCACGAAATCCCAACTCGGCATTGAACACCTCGAGGGAGTCTTCGCTGACAACCTCCAGGCCCAACCAGAGGGGCACGAGAGTTTAAAAGACGCTACGCTTCAACAGTTGACGCAAGCCCTCCGGTCCAAGCTCGCTAAAAAGCCAGAAGACAAAGTACGTGGCAACAATCTTCAGAACGAAGTCAACGAAGATATACGCCAAGTCAAAAACGGTGTGCCTCGAGGGCATGTACAGCACTGCCCGCCACCCCCCTGTGTTTCTGTTCCCATGGCGTGTACTTCATACTGGGCGGGGGGTTTGTTCACAGCTCCATGTAGCCGGGCAAACTGCCCGGTTTGGCAAATGTTTACCCGCATCTTGAACTTCCGTGTATTATGCATAGAGGTAGTTTTCTCGTTCAGGCTGGCTTATGTGAAAAGGAAATACCACCATAATTCTCAGAAAGTCAGAGCTTCATCGTTCCCGTTGCACTCCAAATGGCTAGAAATTTAAGATTGGACCTGGATTGGTGGCGCGTTGCATGGCAACGCTGGCTCTTTTCCGTCAATACGAACGATCATTGCCGGCCGATGCACATGTCTCGGCAATATTGGGTGAAAAGTAAAGAAGCCTGACATTATCGGAGAAATGGCAGTGTGTGAGGGGGCAAGTGGCAGGTAAGGCCCAACGGACGGAGAAAAGGGGGTTCTCGGTCTCGAAATTGTCCAGCATGGTAACGTCGACGGGGGACTTTTCTGCTTGAGACATTTTGAAGGGTTATGTAGCGTCTGCGAGAAGGTAAAGACGGAAACTTTGAGTTATGGACATGCCTTATGGGGAATGGTGGCTTGCATTCTTATACGCTACTTGGGGGGCTAATATGGTTTCGGGTGGCCCGGTGTGGCGGCGTTTGAGCTTGGACCTTTGTGACCCGATGCGGACACACGCCCAACCTTGTTGTGGCTGCCCAACGGAGTGCGAGAAAATCTCAACAGGCGCTGCTTGCAAAGCTTCGAGCTCAAAACCTAACGCACATCAAAAGGGCTCCCGATGCCATTTTGTGGCCTCTGACCCCTCCCCTGAAATCTCAAAGTGGGGCCAGAAACAAAACCCCTGACCAGAGTAAACAAAGCCACTGCCCTTTGTGCAAATGTGACACAAGATCTCAAAATCGAGACTTCAATACAGCATGATCTTCCTCGATGCAATGGGGCTAGATATTGGACAAAAGAAAAAAAACAGAGACCCATCCTAGCTAATGCTGGGGCCAGGTTGTGACTTGGACGAGCTGGGAATCGAACCCAGGACCTTTCGCATATAGTTGCGTATGCTATTTGAACGCTCTACTAACTGAAACACACGCCGTGATGTGTTGGTATTGACAATTTGTTGTGGATTCGGATTTCTTGTGGACGACGGATGAGCACCCGTCGAGAATCGAGCGTCAGGTCTCGGCGTTCTAGTTCCTGCTATACTCAATGACCGCCACTCCTCCTCCGACCACGTGGTGGGCAAAGGGAGAGTGAGACGGATGGAGGTAAAGGTGACAGCAGGTGAATCTGAAAGAAAGATAAAATTCGTGTCGTCTAAAGTCATTCAACTTGATTGCCACCTGGGCATCCTGCTCTAGTCCCAGAAAACCAGCCCATTCATACGAAGACTCTGGGTAATCCAGTCATTTCCCTCTTCTTCCGCCTCCTCCTCTTGGTGTTTCAGCAGATCCAGGGTACCTTCTGGGTCAGAGAGGAAGGCGGCAAAGTCAAAGCGTGCCACAGGACCATATTCTGGTAGCGGCCGTTCAAGGTCGTCGGGACTCGGCCACAGCAATAGCCTATTCGCTTCGTAGTGAATACCAGCATTCATCTTGCCCGTTGCGCATATGTACCTTGGCTCTTGCCACATGATGTGCGGCCCCAGGCCAAGTTCGGAACAGAAAGGTTCTTTTAAGGTCTTCAAGTCCTTCCGAATGGCCTGAATTCGCTCCTTGCGAAGAGCAGTACAGCTGGGCATGGTAAACGATGAAAAATACTGCGCACCAGGCGCCGCTGCGCGAACCGGCTTGGTACCAAATTCCAGATCAGCGTAGTGCTTGGCGGGAAGGCGTTCGCGGATTGCAGTTGACCATGACACGCTGTTCGAGTTGGACTCGGCCGCCCAGGGAGAGCAGATGGCATGGCGGACGCGCACAACCGGGTAGTTCTCCTCATCTGAGGGTCGACGGTAAACGTATTGGGTGTGTATTCGGTCTCGGAGCTCTTTCGTGAGAAACTCCCCCATGTCGACAGGGTCCGACACACCTTCCACAAAGTCTAAGCGATGCGCGGCACAGTTGGGCCTCGCCGTCAGGGGTGGCAATACTAAGAGAGTGAGTTCCTGAATTTTCATACTGTAGGCCGTGAAAGACCATGTGAAATCGCTGGAAAACGGCACTAGGCGTTGGCGCCAGGTAGGATCTGTCCGCCATGCGTCGTTTTCCTCGTCTTCATCGGATTGGTAGAAGCTGATGTCGTCCAGCAGAGCAGCCAGGCGCCGAGGTGCCTTGCTCCAGTTGAAACAAGGCCCGTGGTCGAAATAGAGGGCAAAATCGATGATTTGGTGTGGGAAAAAGATGTGCAGCATGAGCTGGTCGTATTCATGGTTGATGTAGATGTGATGGTGAAAAGAGGTGTCGTAGTGCTTGAGACCGACTGCGCGCGCCTCGGAGCACGCATGCAACAGCGGTGGAACCGCCAGTGAAGGATGGATGGCTGGAACGAGGTGGCCTTTGCCTGGGAGAAGCGGGAGGATTCGCTCAGTGCGGCAGGCGTGCTCCCAGATGAACAGACGAATCTCAGTTGGCAGTCCAGGAAAGACAGTGAATTGCTCTGCGGCGTCTTGGGAGGATGCCATGGTCAGATTCGTGGGGCCAAGGCAGATGGAGCCTGAGGCACAGCTGACCAAGCCAACGATTGAGGTTTGCCAAATACGTGAATCTAAAAGAGGAAGGAGCAAAGGGGGGGGAGGGAAGGGTGAGACGGATTTTAACCCAGGTGCGGGGTAACATTTCGGAGGTCTCGATTCACGACCGCTGCCATTGCTGGTGTCCGCCTGGCTCGACAAGCTTACTTTTATCGCGACAACCTCATTTGTTGGACTCCAGACGCAGGCCTTTATCGACTGGCCATGACTGTCTCAATGCCCCGATTGGCGCCGACGATGCCAGCTGAAGCGGCCTCCATCGCAGCACGTTCGAGCACCACGTCCGCTCTTCAGTCTCATTCGACACTCTTCCAGTGCCTGATTCGCCTGCAGTACGGGCCACTGCATCATTAGAGAAAAGAAATACGCATCCTCACTTTGCATCCTGGGCGCCTCGGCGAATCCATTGTTGGAAGCCTCAGCACAGTATCACTCGAAGATAACCCCGCATTCGAGTCTCCATCGTACTGTTAGGGAGACAGGACGGACAATCGTGACATTGTCATTGATGGTTTCCTCCACTCCGTGACAAAAAACCTCCACGGCGCCCTGCAGCGACTCAGACATGAAGATTCCCTGAGGCACCTCTGGGTTGACGCCGTGTGCATCAACCAGGAAGACAATGTTGAGAAAAGCCATCAGGTCAGATTAATGGAGCACATTTTCAAGAATGCAGCCGCCGCCACTCTCCTCGTTGGCGATTACATCGATGACCCCAGCCCTCCAACCTACAAATCCTTCGATCCCGAAATCCCACTTGGCTCACAGTTTGGTGTCGAAAGCACCTTCACGCTGATTCAGAAGTTGGCGGAAGATCATCATCTGTTCTACTACGAGTCTCCACATCGCCGCGCCGATCCCCTACCGCCCAAGCCGCTCAAACTGCGCCATGATTACACCCAAGGCATCCTGTCGCTCATCACTCAACCGTGGTGGTCTCGGATATGGACTGTCCAGGAAGCAGTCCTACCCAAAAATCCGGCCACACAGTACGGCTCCTGCCATGTGGGTTGGGAGGTATTCGCCGCAGCTACATGAAACCTGGAGGAACACATGGTGAATCGATGCTGCGAGGTTAATTTCGTACCTGGATGTCGCACCTCTTAACCACCCGCCATCCTGTTCTTCGTCAAATTCAAGAAACTCACTGAGCTTCGGAAGAGCTCGCCTCCTCTTGAACAGCTCCTTCGCAGCTTCCGTGACCGCACTGCCACCGACCCAAGGGATATGGTCTACGGATTGCTGGGCATAGTCCGCGGGGAGGACATCCCGTCAGGTATTCAGCCTGACTACACGATTGGAACTGATGGGCTGTACTCAATTGTCACTCGGAAGGTTATCCAACGTCGTGGAGATCTTTGCTGGCTTGGACCCCACCGTTTTGAAGACGGTGCATCCTTGCACAGGAAGTCTGGCCTTCCATCATGGGTACCCGACTACACGACAGTGTCCGAATGGATCACCATTCTGGAAGAAGTGGCACCCTCGGCGTACTGGAACCCTTGCGACTTCAGATCGGTACATCTGGAGCCAACTGACAGCCCACTGGTGCTCCCAGCTGCGGGAATTTGCTTTGATGAGGTTATCGCTGTTAGCGATGTCGTAGCACCCTGCCCACGCTCGACACTCTTTGCCACAATGAAGAAGTGGACGGAAATTTCGCATTCTCTCGGTCTCTGGCAGACGCCATACCCCCCCGGAGACCACAAAGGGACGTATGAGGAGCTATGGTGGATGATAGCATACCGCGGGCTACGAATGCTTTTGGACGACCTGGATGGGGAACACTTTCGCCCCGCGACGATGGAGGACAGGGACCACATCGAAGAGGCCATCGCCTCGCCCGATGGGAGATTGAACGGGGTAATGCCGCACCTTCTGTGGTGGGAGCGGTTCTTTGTTACACGGAAGGGATACATTGGTCTGGCCGGGCAGAACGCTCGGGTGGGAGATACCGTGCATGTCTTGGTTGGGGGGAGACAAGCTGCTGCGGCTTCTCAGCAAGAACCAAATCACACATCAAAGGACTACGGCTTTGTCGGCGACGCGTTTGTGCTGGGCATTATGGAGGGCGGGCCGTTACCTTCTGACAATGAAGGGGACAAACTCGAGAAACACCTGTTGGTTAATGGGATTGTTTGCTTGGGGTCAGCCAAGCACCGTACACACCGGAATCTGCCCGTCGCCCTCAACCACTGTCCATCCCCAGATCAATCATTCAAGCATCCAACCCCATTTACCAGCCACGTTCCAGACCATCCCTCCGCGAGTCCGGGGACAGGTTAGGCACTCTCCCATTGAGCAAAGTAAGGGGGTTTGCAGGAGTCATCTCGAAGAAGGCACTTGCAACCTTACAGAAAACACAAAGCGGTACCAACTGGGAACTCTCACCGGTGGTAAATAGCTTTCAATTTGCAAGTAGATGACGAGTCACAACGGGTTTGACTTGGTCCTATGTCCACCCCAAAAAAGCCAGAACTGTAGGTAATGATGCATGACAGAAAAAAGCCAGCCAAATCGTCCGCACCACATCCTTTCGAGAAACCTACGAAATAGTCAGCATGTACAATGAGCGAGACAACCTCCAAGTCCTGCGTATTACTTTCCAACCGGGCTTAGTACCTGGTGGTAGGTTCCGGCGACGTCGCATCCTCAACTATCGGTTGCTTCTGTGACTCATTCGCCTTGCCTTTCCCTTTTAAATCCCCGTTCAACGACAACTTCTCAACCCCTGCTTCCACCTCACCATCCGTGCCATTATGCGGTTCCACCCCATTACCAACTCCATTCTCATTCTCATCCACGTCCTCTCCCACAGCCCCCTCTTCATCTCCCTCCTCCTCATTTTCGTACTCCCCTTCATCCTCACCATACTCACCCTCCTCGCTATCCTCCCCCTCCTCACTATCCTCCCCCTCCTCCCACTCCCTAATCAACTCATTATCCGCCTCCCCATCATCATCCTCCTCCCCCCCACCCGAAAACACCCTCCTCGCCGCATTCCTCCCCACCACCGGCAACATCCTCACCCCCCTGTTCCTCGCCACCTGCGGCACCACCCCCGGATCCAACAATCCCACCTGCACCAACACGCTCGCTTGGTCCCAATACACCCTCTCATGCTGCAACTTCCCACCCCTCACCGTAACGATACTCACCACTATCACCTCCACCCGCTTCTTCGTAGGCGGCACACCGGGTAAAACCCACGGCATTTCCTGCGTGTGCTTGAACGAGACGTACATCTCATCCACCACTCTATCCACCCCGATCGTGCGAGACAGGAGAGTGATGTTCATGCTAGGCGGGTTGCTATTGATAAAGTAATCGATGTAAAAATCTTCCAGCTCCTTGGTGCCGATTGCACCAGAAAGGGTAGGTACATGTGTGACTTCCGGTGATGTATG